TGTATTCTACCATTCAGGATAGAATACAAAGGTTTAAACCATAAAAATATTTTAAATCATTGATGTTTTGCCTGGCAGTAAGATTGTGTTGTTTGTTAGTACTACTGTTTTTGAAGCAAGGTACCACCTGAGCATTTGGTTTTTCTTGCTTAAATGTAGAACCTTACTTATTTCACCATTGAATTTTGTTAGATAGGGCCCAATGTTCAAGTCTATCAAGATCCTTCTGTATCTTAAGCCTGTCTTCTGGAGTGTTGGCTATTCCTACCAGCTTGGTGCCGTCTGCAAATTTGATGAATTCCCCATCTATCCTCTCATCCAAATCGTTGATGAAGATGTTGAAGAGCACTGGGCCCAGAATTTACTGTGTAAAACTTTCAAAGATGTCTGTTACTTGGAGATAAGCAAACAATGTTTTTTTTTTATTACCAATCCCTATCATCCTTGCCTCTAGAAATTTGTGGATTTTGTGCTCTTGCCTGCAAAGGAAGAAAAAGTTTATAGAATTTCCTTTTACAGACAAGTGAAATGGCCAACCAGAAGCACTGCTAGTGCTGACATGCTTTATTTTTAACAGCTGTGACTGTAAGTGTAAGATAGAAGACAGAAAAATATGTCCTGTTACTAAGCACTGAAACAGTATAACATTGCTTATAGTGGGATATTCAACAAGTTTCTTTTAGGAATAACTGCAAATACTATCTGGAGCCTTAATGTTAATGTTTCCTTGCTCTTGTCATTGTTTGTCCTACTTTCTTCACAACAAAAATCAGAATGTGACCTTATTTGCTACTGAATTAGTTATATTTGGCATTATTGACCCTTTAATGAAAATTAATGATGGTTGCCTTCATTCACTATTACAGGCTAGTACACCAAATGCATGTATTGAAAGTATTGTATAAATTAAATTAGAGGAGAAATACCATTATATACAAAACAAGTCTCTTTCATACAATGAATTGAGTCAATTTAAAGTTGAATTAAAAAAAACAATTATGATATTCATGACTTTTGACATCCAATTTATTGTTCCATTTATGAAATGAATTTATGTGACACGTTATAAGTTACCTTTCTAGATTAACCCAAAGGTGCTTTTTCAAGAGGCAACTGTACTTTCTTATTTTTCTTTGAAGACGTTTCGCTTCTCATTCAAGAAGCTCTGAGATGAAGAAGATTCTTCGGTGAGAAGCGAAATGTCTTCAAAGAAAAACAAGAAAGCCCAGTTGCCTCTTAAAAAAGCACCTTTGGGACAACCATGACCTGGATGACTGAGAATCTCCATAGACTTTCTAGATTAAGTTCCTTCACACCAACTTCTATCCACAAAAATTGGATTTTCAGATGGTGCTATATTTAGAGAAAAATATCCAAACATTCCAAAATATATATTCTTACTCACATGTGTGGATAAATACTATTAGTATAGTATTTAAATTTAGGGTATATTTTTTGCAAATTATTGAGATTTTTTTTAAAAAAATTATTAATTGTTTTGTTACTACATTTCATTTATAAAATTACAGAGCATGTATTTCAAGAAAACTGTTGTGACAGTTTTAAAGATGCTATCCCATCGATTGGAACAATCTTTCCAATAGGATTTAAATTAATATTCAAAAATATTTCTGTTCAAAAGAAACAGATCTACAAAAAGAGGAAGTGGAGTTGCACTATATGTAAGAGTTCCTATATATCTATAGAAATACACATGATCAAAGATTAAAAAAATTAGAATCCATATGGGTCAATATAAAAGGAAAAAAGAATGTCATTTCTATAGGAGTATACTACAGGCCACCCAACCAAGCAGGAGAAATAGATGAACTCTTTGCTAATCAATTAACAAATGTGTGTAGAAAACATACCAGAATAATAATGGGAGACTTTAACTACCCTGATATCAACTGGGAGACAAACTCTGCAGCAAGTGGGAGATCCGACAGCTTCCTAACCAACTTAGCTGAGAACATTGTCATCCAAAAGGTAGAGGAGGGAACTAGAGGAGCTGTACTGGACCTAATTCTTACTAATAGAGAAGAAGTGAAAAGGGAATTGAAGTTGTGGGAACCTTGGGCAAAAGTGACCATGTCATATTGGAATTCAATATAATGCAAACACAAGCAATAGAACATAATCCAACCAATGTTTTAAACTTTGAAAGAGCTGATTTTAACAAACTCAGAGAGAGCCTAGGAAAGATTCCATGGATGAAATCTTAAAGGAGAAAACAATTCAAGAAGCGTGGGAAATTCTAAAAATATGATCATAAAAGCCCAGTCCAGCACAATGTCCCTCAAAAAGAAAAATAAGAAACCATCTCTTTGATAAACTGAAAGACAAAAAGGACAAGTACAAAAAATGGAAAGAGGGACACATAACTAAGGCAAAGTATCAGCAAATAGCCAGAATCTAAAAAGATGAAGTCAGGAAAGCAAAGGCTCAGAATGAACAAAGACTTGCAAAAAAAGTGAAAGATTTTTTTTTTTTAAGTTTTTTTTCAACATATTAACAACAACAAAAGTCAAGAAAACAGTGGGTTCATTAAAGAGAGAAGATAGCAAGGAAATAACAGGCAGTAGAGAGAAAGCAGAGCTGCTTAACTTATTCTTTGCATCACTCTTCATGCATAGAGAAACTATATCCCAACCTACTAAAATAATAACCGCAAAAAACAGACTAGAAATAAAAATTAAAATAATCAAAAAATGGTAAGAGAACACATGTGTGTGACAGATTACATCCCAGATTTCTGAAGGAGCTGGCAGATGTTATCTCAGAACCATTGTACCATATCTTTCAAAAATCCTGGAGCACTGGGGAATTACCTGAGGATTGGAAAAGAGCTGATGTGGTTCCCATCTTCAAAAAAAAAAAGGGGGGGGGACAAACCTAGGAAATTACAGACCAATCAGCCTAACATCTATACCTGGCAAGATACTGGAAAAGATAATCAAAAAACAGTTCTGCAAATATCTAGAAACAAATAAAGTTATAACTAGAAGTCAGTACAGGTTTGTTAAAAACAGATCTTACCAAACCAATCTTATTTCATTCTTTGACAAAGTGACTAAAATTAATTGACTAGCAGAATGCAGTGGACATAGTATACTTAGATTTCAGTAAGGCATTCAACAAAGTACTTGGTTAGCTAGAAAAATGACAGCATCTCCACCAGATGGATTTGTAACTGGCTGACAAATTGAACTCAATGAGTAGTCCTTAATGGCACTACATCTACATGGAGGGAAGTAAGCAGTGGGGTAGCACAAGTTACGTCTTAGACCTAGTACACTTCAATATCTTCATAAATGACTGAGACAAGGGAATAGGAGAGTAACTCATCAAATTTGCAGATGACACTAGGCTGGCAGGAATAGCCAACACACTAGAAGACAAACTCAGGATCCAAAAAGATCTTGACAGACTTGAACAATGGGCTCTATCCAGCATAATGAATTTTAATGTGGACAAAAGCAAGATTTTATACATAGGCAGTAAAAACCAAAGGTACAAGTACAGATTAGGCAAAACCTGGCTGAAAAACAGGGATCTTGGAGTCTGAGTGGACAATCACTTAAACATGAGCAAACATGTGCGGCATCAGCCAAAAAAGCTAATATAATCCTTGGTTGTATAAACAGAAGTAGAGAATCAAAATCATGTGAAGTATTAGTACTACTTTATAAAACCTTAGTAAAACCACACCTGGAATACTGCATCCAGTTTTAGTCACCACATTACAAAAAAGATGTTGAGACTTTGGAAAAAGTGCAAAGAGCAACTAAGATGATTAAAGGCCTGGAGACTAAAACATATGAAGAATGGTTGCAGGATTTGGCTTTGGTAGTCTAGAGAAAAGAAGGACTAAGGGTGACATGATAACAGTATTCCAGTATTTGAGGGCTGCTGCCACAAACAAGAGGGGGTCAACTTATTTTCCAAAGCACCAGAATAAGAAACAATGGATGGAAACTGATCAAAGAGAGAAGCAACCTGGAATTAAGCAGAAACTTCCTAAAAAGTGAGAGCAATTAACCAATGGAACAACTTGCCTTCAGAAATTGTGGGTGCTTCATCACTGGGAGGTAATAATAATAATAATGATTTTTAAGAAGAGGCTGGACAGTCATTGTCTGAAATGGTATAGGGAGCTGGACTAGAGGACCTCCAAAGTCTTTTCCAGCTCTATTCTATTTGATAATATAAACATTCGTGGGGAAAATACAGTATTTTTAAAAACAAAAACATTTCTGGCATGACTCCCATAAATCAGTTGGTGGAGATCACTCAATCAGTTAAGAGAGAGAGGAGGGAGAAAGAGGGATTCTAACTAATCATGCTTCTGTTGTGGCAGCTACCTATCTTCCTCTCTTTTCATAGAGTTGGTAGTAATGGTCTTGAATGGAGGGGAAATTATTTACTTAATATGTTTCTGTGATGATTCTCTCTCTCTCTCTCTCTCTCTCTCTCTCTCTCTCTCTCTCTCTCTCTCTCTCTCTCTCTCTCTCCCCAACCCCACTTGTTTTCAGAGAAATTTTCCAAGGCACATTGTGAAAATTAATTCTTTTTTCCTGTAGTTCCAAATGGGCATGTGTCTGTCACTTTTGATGTTATCTGTTTGACTGCATTTCTTAAGCCCCAAGGCAATAACATACATTAGGATCTTAGTTAGATTAAAATGCTGAAGCTGCTATGAATATTGCAAATGTTTTATGAAGGCTGTAGGTAGAGAAATGAAGAAAGAATCTAGTTTTCAATTTGAAATGGGAATCTAGAAAAAATGTTTTTTTTAATCATGAAAATACTATAGAGAAAATGGAGCACAAGCAGCTACTTAGTAATATATGGCCAAATAGAAAAGATGAAGAATAAAAAAGAAATATATCAGAATAATATAAATGGACATATAAAATAGGGACTTAGGTAAATCAATATGAAATAAAATCTATCTTCTTTTTCATCTGTCTCTCTTCTCTGTCCCTTTATATTTACAGATAACAAAGATTATGATGCCTATTTGTCATATACCAAAGTGGATCCTGACCAATGGAATCAGGAAACTGGGGAAGAAGAACGATTTGCTCTTGAGATCTTACCAGATATGCTTGAAAAGCATTATGGGTACAAATTATTCATTCCTGACAGAGATTTAATTCCAACTGGAAGTAAGTTTTTAAACACACACACTCATACACTCATACATACATACACTCATTTTGCATAGCACATGCCGTTTAGGTACATTTTAATGTGATACTGTTCTAATGCTGTTTATTATACATTCCATTAAAATAAATAATCAAAGCATATTAATAATAAGTACTATGGTACTAACACTAAAAATAATAAGCACTGTATACAATAACTATATGTATAATATGCTAACTTTTATTAACATAAGATAGGATATATAGTAACAGAATTAAATGTTCTTTGAAAAGTTCATTGCATACCATAGCTAAGTTAACAGCCTAACTAAAAAGTGTCTAGCCTACTTAAAAGTGTTTAAATAAAATTTGTCTTATATCTTCTTGCACGTACAAGAATAAAATCTTCCATATATTTTTAACAGCAGTAAAACCAACTGGAGCAACAAATCAGACCAAGTTGTCAGTTTTCTAGAATTGACTATATATTCTAGCTGTATTCTAGAATTAGATATATTCTAGAACTAAATTAATATAGTTCTAGAATATATAGAGATTATGCAAGATGGTGTTTGAATGGTTTCCTATGTTGCCATTACCACAAACATCCATTGGAAATTAAAAGCTAGCTGAAAGGTCAGCCCATAAATAGATCTGTATCCTTTATACCTAATTTGTATTCTTTATTAAGTGGAAATATACTTCTTATTGAAAATATTCAGTTGTGAGAAATATTCAAAATATTCAGTCGTTGAAGCCTGAAATGATGGAGACTATCAAGAAGTATAGCACACAAGCGAAAATGTCTTTGGATTAATAGCAACTTACTGTAGCATGACGCATTTTCATCAATTGCTTTACTCTTAAATATAAAGCTATTAGACAATCTTTTTATAGTCATCTTTTCCCATTGACAACTTAGACCAAATTCACCTTTCCTCAATAAAACTGATTTTCTCATAGACACCACTCACTGAAAGTGTACATCAGACAGGCTTCAACAGTTCCAGTTAAATAAAGATATCCTTTTTGCCCTTGCAGTTTGCAGAGATATAACGTGTAATTTTGGTGAAATGATGAAATTAGATTGCATTAGGCTGCCACCAAGGAATCCACTGAGTTATATTCCAAAAGTGGAAAAATAGGTCCATCTGCATGCAATTTAAAAAAAAATCTGGATAGGACATATTCTATAAAAATAAATGTGTATTGTAGAAACATTGGCTCTTTCCTTATGTTTTCTTAATTAAATTTACCCGAAGTACTGATTTCCCTCTTCCAGGAAGTAAAAAGGAAATATTTCCTTATATTCTTCATTCAGAGAAGGTTGCTCTCTCTCTGTTTTCCTGGAAAGGGGTGAAAGACAGCTCTGCTAGCAGTTTTTACACACAGCTCCAGAGGGAGCTATTTTTCTTCCTATTCTTTTCCTATTCTGAATGGGTTCTCACTTAGGAGCAATACCTCTTTAACAGAGATGAACATGTGAATAGATCTTTCAATATTTACATTGAATGCTTTTTAAGACGTAAATTAATAGTACTTATTTAAGATCTGCTTACAGTTCACAGTCCTGGCATAGAGATTTTTTCTGATCTTGAGTTGCTCTTTTGCTTATCAGCCTACATAGAAGACGTGGCAAGATGTGTAGACCAAAGCAAGCGACTGATAATTGTCATGACTCCAAATTATGTGGTCAGAAGAGGTTGGAGCATCTTTGAATTGGAAACCAGACTTAGGAACATGCTCATTACAGGAGAAATTAAAGTGATCCTCATTGAATGCAGTGAACTCCGAGGAATTATGAACTACCAGGAAGTTGAGGCGCTGAAACATACCATCAAGCTTCTAACTGTTATTAAATGGCATGGACCAAAATGCAACAAGTTGAATTCCAAATTCTGGAAACGTTTACAGTATGAAATGCCTTTTAAGAGGATAGAACCTATTACCCACGAGCAGGTTTTAGATGTTAGTGAGCAGGGGCCCTTTGGGGAACTGCAGACGGTCTCAGCAATTTCAATGGCTGCTGCTACCTCCACTGCTCTTGCCACTGCCCACCCTGATCTGCGTTCCACTTTTCATAACACATATCATTCACAGATGCGTCAGAAACACTATTATCGAAGCTATGAATACGACGTACCTCCTACTGGCACCCTGCCTCTTACCTCAATAGGTAACCAGCATACTTATTGCAACATCCCAATGACACTTATTAATGGACAGAGGCCACAGACAAAAACTAACCGAGAGCAGAATCCTGATGAGGCTCATACAAACAGTGCAATCCTGCCCCTCTTACCACGGGAAACTAGTATCTCCAGTGTCATTTGGTGACATCAGTGCAAGGGGGAAATCACCTCCCTTGATCAGAAGCAAGGTCTGCAGTCTGGTGCCTGGAACTACATCCTCGACTGCTGCTGTTAAACATGCATTACAATCTATGAAATATGAGGAAAAACAGGGTCTTGTACATATGGTTTTGCAAATTTCTTTGTAGCATCAGTCTTCCTGTTTTACCCATGTCTTTACCATCCACATGTTGACTTTGTTTTATATGTCATTAAGATTTGTATATTTACATTTTTTTTAAAAAAAAAGAGAGAGAAATGAAGAGACTGCTGTATAGATAGGAATTTTTTTTCCTCATTAGTATAGTTTGAGTGTGTGTGTGTGCATTTTAAACATTTTTGGGGAAAGCTTGGATAAAACTGTTCTTAATCTAGAAGCAGTATCCATTTTCTTGGTCTGCCTAGGCCAATACCCAGAGTCATGCTTGCAGCAATTCACCATTGTCTGTCTGTGTGTATGTATGTGCGTATGTGTGTGTGTATGTGTGTGCATGCACACGGGTGCCTGTGTGCATGCATGTATATGTGTGAAAACACTTGTTCTTGGGAGATCCCCACAAATGTTTCATAATCCTTTCTTCATGTTTTTATCACACTGCTACACTCTGCCCTTTTCCCCTCACCTTTTTAAAGCAGCACACTGAGTGAAATTAAAGATGGTCTAATTGTCTAATATTTCACGTAGTAAATAGTTGTGAACAGCAACAAAAAAAATCCAGTCTGTATTACTTGCTTCACAATAACCACTATAACCACTATTGAATCTATAGAAAGAATAATAGATTTTTCTGTTTGATTTTATGAGTTGTTTGTATTCATTTTATATAGAAATAACATGCCAACTCTAATTCATTCACTTCCTGGGAAAGTGTTGTATGTGTTGTAATTCCCACTACCTATTTTGTTTGTCTGTTTGCTTGAAATCAATGGTTTCTTTTCTTCTTTACATTCTTCAAATGAGATTATTGACATCTGCCAAGCAAGTAAGGCAGTAGGCACTGAAGTCCATTAAATCCTGGAGAGATTTCCAATGATGGCTTCCAAACCAAACTAGAATAGAAGGACAATATCAAAAATGGTTTATCACATTGTATTACATAAAATGCTGTCTTTTAAGAAATATGGAACATACTTTTTCAACAAGTTTGAAACATATGTATATTCAAGTTTGGTCATCACCTTTTCTTTTCACTGATACATCCAGAATTTAGCATTCTTTATTATTCATTATTATCTTTTCTTAAGCTTGTAATAACACTACATTTTTTAATTCCAAGGTTGTTTAAAGGAGATCTCAGGAGGTTGCAAAAAGTAAATACCAACAAACATCAATATTTTATAAAATATTAATATTTAAATCAGAAGGAGAAATGTTGGAAATAATGTTATTGAATAAAATAAACTAGTTTTATTTTAAATGTATTATTTCATCTTTAAAGAAAGAAAAAGCATGTGTTTTGGCTTTGAAATTATTTTCTGCATAAATCTAAGGACTGAACTTTGTCTATATGGATTCAATAAGAATTTGTCATAAATATTAACAGATTTAACTCCTCATTCACCTACTGTTAACAGAATGAGCACTACTATTCATATTTCCACTTACCAATGCAATAGCCACCTTTCATATAAGAAGGCAGCCAACAATAGATTACCTAATTACTATAGCACTAGACTAGTAGAGCACATTTCTTACAACATAAATTGATGTAGTGGATTACTGATAATAATTAACATGCTAGAGGAGAATATAACATTTTTAATTTTGCATTCAAAAATGCCACAATTTAACAGCAACAATCACGTGAAACTGCAGATCTTTTTCTTCATTGGAAAGAAAAGGAGAGAATTTTCTACATAGTTAACAATACATAGTCAATATAATGGATGTATTGTGCATTTATTTTGACTGTCATCATAAAAAAGGCCTATATTTTAGGTCAAATAAGATGTTATCAATTAATTTTAACCTAAAACCTAGATGTGTGGGTTCCATTGGTACATGAAAAATTACTGGTATTATAATATAGCTAGTCAAGAAAACATCTGAAAACTGAATTAGGATGTATAGGATGTATTTTGATATAATTTGACTAACAATATTCATTTCTGTGACTGTTCACTCAAGTCTTTTTCTAGTAGTTTGCTATTTTGCTGGTCTCTACCTTTATCATATAAAAAAGAAAAAAATGTGGACATGTGCAAAATAAAATCACACCAAGCATTTAATGCTGTCAGCTAGGATTTGAAAGTTCACATTCTTTGAAAGTCCATTCTCTGAAAATTTAAAATAGTTATTACTGGTTATAGACACCAGCCAGGCACTAGTGGAATTAATCACCATTGATAAAATTCCAAATCTGAGAACTTCAAATAACTAACAAAAGATGCAACAGCTTTCTCTTTGAAATTTTTAATCTTACATTTTGTTTGTGAAGTAATGTAAAACATTGCAATCTGACCACAGTCGCACTGTAGATTCTAGCTGGATGGTATTCTTTTTTTTTTTCCTCACAAGGAACACTTTTGTCCTCTGTTTTAATGTAGATTGAAGCACTTTGAATAGCATGATTCAGGGATTAATAGATACTATTTGATATTCATGCCACTTAAAGTAAAGATTTTCTTATAATAATGCTTTGGCATATTGTTCAGAAAGAAATGACAGAATTGATTTGGGGAAATGACACAAAACAGATGAAAAAAGCCATTAATGGCTTGAGATACATTCCACCCAAGTGATTCTTTTTCTATAAACAGCTCTGTTTGAGAAACAGTAAAGGAACTGTCAACTGTTCAAAACGCATACTTAATGTTTGACTAAAGTTCTGTTAGAACACAAAATAAAAAGGAAAAAAAATTGCCCTAATTCTTGGGCTCCATTCTTTTTTATTGGGGAAAGAGGAGGGAGGAAGATGTTCTAATTTTGCAGTGTTTGCATGCAAAGCCAAATTTCAGGCCATCCTTAAAATAGAATGCATGTAAAGAAAGTTCAAATCTCTGCAAATGTTAGCATGTATAACTCTCATTTCAAGATTACTGAAATAAAATTGAAAGCCTAATTGGTAGGAAAAGGATGTTTTTCTCTTCAAGTGCCATTACTAATTGTAAGGCTGCATAACCTCATAGCTATGTTTGAAATATTTTTAATATCTCACATTTGTTAATTCTGAGCTACAATTCTCAGGACCTTCAAACCTTCACTGTCATCTTTTATTTTTGTAATATAAAAGTTCAAAATGAAAAAAGCAGTAAATGGATGACTAAAGGGATTATTTAAAAAAAACATTCCTATGAATATCAGCAGTATGGTTTGACTAAGAATTCTAATGTTGAGAATTAGAATATAATGCACATTTTCACAAATTCCTCCTCCCAGTTGCAGTCTGTTGAAAAACTAGTCCAAACAATACAATATTAATTCCAGAATAGTATTGGAAATGCCATTAGAAGCATGTGGTTCCACAAAGATTATCTCAATTTTGTCTTTGCTGAAAATCTTTGCTGATAGTTACTTTCACAACTGAAACTGTCTGGTTCCAATGCATAATCCTGGAAACAATTTCCTAGCATTTTGTTAGTACACTCTATTCTTTTTATTCCACATCTCAGCAGTGGCTTGCACAACATTTTATGAGAGAAAGTCTAGACAATTCAGTTCATGAATATACTTCCAGTTGTGAAATAACCGCAGTACTGGATAATATATAATTCTTATTGTCTAGATATTGATACCAAACGCTGAGTAGGGTTGGATACATTTATTTACATCCAGTGTGTGAAAGTAATGGGGTGCCTTTGCCCTATGTTTCAGCAGTAACTTGTTCTTTGGTACAGAGGCAAAGAGCATAGCCCACTTGCTGGAAAAGTGGCACTCAGAACAGCTCTCTGGATGAAAGTATACTTGATGCTTTCAAATTTCATTCATGTCAACTCCAGTCAATATAAATAGGGACTTTACTGACATACCTTTTTAGTCAGGTATTGGAATTCTACCACCCTTTTGAAGTATTTCTGTAATGGATATGTATTCTGTCTAAATTATTTATACAAATCCACAAGTTAACTCTTGATGAACTGTTCATGAACTTCTGTCATGAACAGCGGTCCTCTTAAGGGGGCAAGAAAAAGGAAAAGTACAAGACCCGCCCATTCAATGGCAAAAGTTACATAATTAGCTTATATAACTGATATTGCCAGAAATTCTCAGCTGCTGACTAGGAAGGATTAAATAATCAGCTAGTCATGTAGAGAATAGGGACCACTACTGTACCAAAGTATCATACTATCTGTAAGCTATACAATTGTAGCTAATATTTTCACACTTGTAAAATGGTTTGTCATGTTTTATTGCAGTGTAACCACTTAACCCACCCACCCCTTCCCAAATCCCATGCATTTTCTGGCTGAATTGGAAAGAACTATTATGATAGCCCAGTAATGTGCAGTAAAGAAAAATACGTAAATATTTATACTTCTGTAACACTAAAAGAATAGGTCTGATAAAGTCTGAGTTTATTTCCCTTCATTTATATAAAGTAGTTTTATCCATGTGCAAAACAGAATGTTAAAATTTCTATGTTGATATATGGGCATATTCTTGGAAAAATAAATGGCGATGGAAAAAAAACTGCCTGGCTTTCATAAGCTAGCTAACTTAGCTAATCTTGGCCAATCATGTAATCATGGTCAGTTGAGTTAGGTGAATATGATCTGGAAATCCAGCATTCTAGGTAACACTGTAAAGTCTGAAAAACTGTTTGAGATCTAAATTGAATGGTACTGCTGGTCCAGTATAGCAACCAACTGGCCACAAAGCCTTATTAAGGAATAGATAAAGAATTAACTATTTTGTTTGTATCTATCTATTATGCAGCATGTTCATTGTAGATGAAATTGCTATTCTGAGATTATTTTCTTCTGCCCTTCCTACTGGGGGATAACATACATAGATGAATGATACGAGGTAATCTCTCAACCTTACATTTCTCAGCTGCTTTGAGATCCTGAAGATTTGGGATATGTGTATTTGTATGCAC